AGGGGAGAGTTATAGAGAGTAAAAAATAATGAGGAAATAGGGAGGGAGAGACTGGGATGAATTATGGAAAAGAAGGTGTTATATTTCAAAAGCAACAGAAGGCGTAAAGAGAGAGATGAGTTATATTTCACAAGAACTGACGGCCAAGCGGTCTCAGTAAACGATTAATTTTCATTCTTCAAAAACTCGGTATTACACATATTGTCTTAGGAAGGTCTTGCTTCTACGAACTGCAAGGGGACATAGATCTAGTATCTTTTTCTGTTTGGTTTTAGTGACAGTTTTACAGCACCTGCAACACAATTAGATCTTATAAATACCGACGATTATAGGTGTTACATAAAAAAGTAGATAAATATGATAGATATTTGAATGGGGCAAACCACACCGGAGCACCCACCAACAACTCCCGAGTATCTTTTTGGTTGCTTGTCTGAGATAAAGAAAAGCATTTTGACACGAAGTCAGCTTTAAAAAAACCATTTCTGGATGATCAGCGTAATTTCCAAAAGAAGTGGAAAGAAAAAAGTCCACTCAAATTGACTCTGCCAAAGTCGGTATTGTTAACAATGCACATCGGAAATTAAACAATTTCTTTCTGATGGTTATACAGACGCAGTTAAAATATTGAAGAAATGTCATGGCAAAGAAAAGCAAAAGTTGCCGAATTATACTTTGCTGCCTGCTAATACAACGAGTGTAGGAAAGCGAACATCACGCTGGAAATGATAATGAGAAAAACATTATACAAGTATTTCATTGTTATTCCTTCCGATTTACTCTGAATGTTCATACAGCGCTATTCCACACATCTCAGTGTCGACTCCTAAAGCTGTTTAAAAGTTCCCTTTAAATTACCCATAACCTCGAGTCAGCACCGGTGATCACTCTTTATTTTAATCCCTTGCATGCATAACATTGTCTAAATCGAGTGGTTTTGGAGAGTTTTTTAAAACTTACAAGCCATTTGGCTCACACCTGTTGGGGATGGACGATACATATAATTATTGTGATACCGTTTCGTAAATAACTGTGCAGTGTTCGAAGAGATGTATTTTTTCTGGAAGAAAAAGACAGACCAAACCATATAATAAAAAGATTATGTGTCCTGATACTTAGCGATATTTCTCCGAAAAAAAGGTGTTTCCGAATCTAACCGTCTTGTCAGCGAGGGCGCACAATTTGCCGAACCATTGTCTATCTTCAGCCATTTCATCGTTTCAAATATAAAAATCAGTCAGCTATTTCCTGTACAGTTTGATGCTTTCTTCAAGCGGGAACTAAGCTCACACTTTTCTGTTTTCAAAGACAAAGAGCCTAAAGGGCCCATTACACGTTCAGTTCAAATTGCCATGTATTCTATCTCTTTATGTCATAAGAAAATAATACATATTGCAATCTTGGAAAAATGTATGTCTACGTGATCTTCGAAATCCAGCATGAAAATAGTACGGGCAACGGTCAGATTTGACAGAACCAGTAATACCCCTTTAACAAGTACAGAAGAGACACCGGGTAGCTGGTGGGTGCTCTTTGCGGTTTGCTCCTTCATTCCTTTCAAATATTTCTAATGTCCCTGTTTCTTCTCCTTTTCGCGTAACTTGCATCTCTAATCTTCAACACTTATATGGCCTAATTGTGTTACAAATGGCTTGAAATCGTACAATAACCGAAAGAACGTCGTCTAGTAAGCCCAAAATATTGGCCCAATCCTGTACAGACTGCCCAAAACTGCAGGGGAGCCTCGAAGATCTGATGGGAACAGCATTCACACTGAAGACTGGGCTGTCCATAATTTATGGATGAACGAGAAGAAGAGAAAAGCAAGCAATAGACACATTGTTACAACACAATTAAGAAGTTCTATCTGCTCAGGTTGACATAAAAAATGTTAAGTTTCACAAAATGGATAGCTTGATACCGACTCCGAATAATCTTTCGGTTTTGGTTTCTGACCTCATGGTCTTAGTAACTCAAATGAGCCCAAAATGTAAGATAGAACTTAATTATTCTAAGGCAGCGACTTGGCGAAATGCTCACCTGCACACTCTGGCCTCCCTCCGAAGCACACGGAGCGGAACCCTCGGCGACGGCGTGCTACTTCCGGCGTACGAGTGTGACCTTTGACCCGAGTGGTGGGCGTGGCCTGCCAGCCCTACGTAGTCGCCGTCCTCCACCTCCTCTATGGTGGCCGCCATCAGAGACACAGGCAGGGAGGAGGAAGAGAAGTTTCTACGGCGGCTGGCGGTGCTCTCGCCATACTGCATGCTAGGTCCGCTCGCAGACCTGAGTGGGAAAAGGGAGGGGAGGGGGTGAGGAGGGAGCACGTTGGGGAGGTGAGATAGGAAAGAGGAAAGGGGGGGGGGGATGTTAAGTAAGAAGAAGGGAGAAAAGGGAAGGAGGGGGTAGGAGAGAGGTGGAGAGGAGAGATGTTGAGAGAGGTGGATGGAGAGAGGTAGATGGAGAGAGGGATGGGAGGGAGAAAAGAGAAGAAGGGGAGAGGATGGGCGGAGGGGGAGGGACGTGTTGTATAGTTAAGAATGCTATTGTTTCTAAACTGGAATCTAAATGCAGTTTTTACGCCCTAATCGACACAATTTAGACATTTTAAATTTATGCAGTGGGCTTCAACCCTGCCTGACAGGACCGACCCAGGCTGAGAAGAATACAGCATTGTAGCAGAAAGACCAACATCCTCGATACCGCTGTGGAATTGAAATTTGGTCTCCTTGGTGAGATGGGAAGTGTCTAGCCCCCAAGATTTAGATAATGTAGCGGGCGAGTTTCCTACCCTGCCTGTCAGAGGCAGCATGGGCTGAAAGGGATACAACATCTCAGCAAAAAGACCGAGACATTCAATATAAAAAAAAGAACTTCCCGCTCAGAAATCGGACTGGGGCGTATTTTTATTAAATACCCTTTTCAGCCGTGTATATATATATATATATATATATATATATATATATATATATATATATATATATATATATATATGTGTGTGTGTGTGGGGGGGGGGGGGGTGCCTGTGTGTTCGTGTGACAGTTTCAGGGGTTTTTTTTACTCTTAATATTTGATGTCTTTAATGGTACCACCCTCAAGGAAGTAGAACATTTTAAATATTTGGGGATCATTATATCATCAGATGGGAGATGTCACACCAAAATTAAAAGCCGCATTTGCCAAGCAAAAGCAACCTTACACAAAATGAAACAGATACTAACAAACATCAATCTGTTACTGGAAACGAGAAAAAGAGTACTGAGAAGTTACATCGAGCCAATCCTTTTATACGAGTGCGAAGCATGGACAATCAATTAACAGCTGGAAAGAACAAATTGTGGCGATAGAGTTGTGGTTCATAAGACGCATGCTACGTATCCCAGGGACAGATAGAAAAACAAATGAAAAAGTCTTGGTTGAAGCAAATTGTAGAAGACAGCTTAAGACGAAAAAAATTTAATATAAGAAAGCGACAGGCAAATTTTTCAGACACACAATGCGGAAAGAAACATTGGAGAATAATTATTGTAACAACAGGCAAGTTTGATAGAATGAGAGGCAGGGGCAGACAGAGGGAAAATATACTAAACAAGACGACAACATGGCTAGGAGCAGCAAGAACAACAGACACCATTGCTGCATGGCAGACAGAGTGAAGTGAAGGTCCATGATCGCCCACGCCAGTCGGCAAGGCACCGGATGATGATGATGAATGGTATTTTGTTCAACGTTATGCCATACGGTGATATAATAATAAGTCCATTTTGACCTCACCTGCTGAACCCTCCCCCCTCCGCGTGCGGAAAATGGTTCCCTATGACGTCACTCTCAACCACCGCGGCGACCGCGGTCGGGAAGTCCCCTGGTGACGTCAGCGACGTGCTGCTGGGGTCAAGGTCATCGTGCCTCCGGCTGTTGTCCTGCTGCTGCTGGTTGTTGCTGCTGCTGCTGCTCCTGCTGAGTATCGCCCTCACAGACAGCTTGGCGAGGCCTCGCGGGGGGATAGGGGGCGGCTGGGGGCTGGGCACTGGCACAGAGTTGTTAAGATTGCCGATGACGCTGGACGTTCCTCCAACAGAACTTTCACCCAATCCACTATCGTAGGCTCCGTTGCTTTTACCAATAAAGTTGTTGTTATTCCTGTTGTTATTCTTATTGTTATTGTTATTGTGCGACACAACAGAAGGCGAGACTGTCGAGCACCTTAGTTTTTGAGAGTCTCCTGGAGTGGAGAATAGTTGCACGTCCCCTCCTACAGGTGTTTTGATAGGGGATTCCGAGAGCGAGTCTTTCTGGAAGGCAGAGTTGACGAGCGGTGTGCTGGTGTAGGGGATAGTGTGCTCAGCTTTGTTGAGCTTGGTCTTCATGTCTATGCCCCTACGACGGGGAGGGGCGATGGGTGGCGCCATCTCGTCTGTCTGTGGGCTGTCAAAATCTCTTTGCCACGCCTCTTGGTCTGATGATTCATCTAAGGAAGAATAAGAAAAAAACAGTGTTAAAATCCTGGCAAGACATTTATTTTTATTATTATAAAACTATGTTTGATAATTTTTTTAAGCAACTTCTGATTTAAGTTATTAAATTGGCCTGTACTGTGGTCCGATGTAGTCGTGTGAATACGATTAAATGCATATGTTAACACTCCAATGACGCAGTTCAGAATATTTACTTTTAGTACGAATTTTACGGCACTTGTGACAAGTAGATTATATACATGCCAAAGATGAAAGGTGTTACAAAAGAGTAACTAAACGCAAAAAAGAAGGACGACAGATAAAGACGGTAGATATTTGACATGACAAAAAGATCAAATCATACCAGATGACCCGACACCCACCTACTAAAACCTTTTGATGGTCATTTAGTGCTGAAGAAAAGTAAGACAAACAGATAGCGACAACAGTTGCTTTACGCTTTTATCGACATAATTCAAATAACTTAAAAGGCGTTCTGCTTTAATCCTGCCATCTCGAGCTGAGAGGGAATAAACGTTCCGGCACACGAACGGCAATAATCGACATTTTTGAAAACAATAAAGCTGCGTTTGAGATTTGTGAATAAGTTGGAAAGCAAAAAAGACGAACTGTGAGGTGTGTCAGATTCCCTACACAAGACAAATCCCTGCTGAATAAAATGGAATGTAAACAAAATGCAATACTTTGACCACTTAAAGCGACACGAAACCATTGCAAAAGAGGTGCATGATGTGGGTCAGGAGAGACAGGGGAAGACAGAGAATAACAAGGATAGGCATCATGAAAACATGGGCTGGCCTGGCTATAGCAGAATGTGTAACGGCAGCTCGTGACCGTGAATGATGGACACGTCAACCTCTGAATCACAGATGACACCTCCAGGTATTTTAGTAATTGGATAGACTAGATCAGAGCCAAGATTGCAAAAATTCTTCGAAAACTAGACAACTAAAGTTCGAAATTCTGCCGTTGGGAATTTGGTCTTGGGTCATACACATCACAGTCCAGTGTAATACTTACTTGGCTAACAGCTAGCTCTCACACAATCACTACATATGGCATGAATGTTTATTAGATTATCACGAACTTCATAGACGTGAGTTTTCTTTTTTAATATAGGTGTTTCTATGGCCCCACCGACAATATTAGGATCAATTACAAGATGGGCTTCCGACCCTTCCTGTTCGTGTAACCCGTCTGAGAGGGACACAAAATCCCAGCAGAAAGACCGCAACACGAAATGAAAATTCTCCCCACTCGGGAATCAAACTCGAACCTCATGCGTGCGACAGCAAAGCACCTAGCCTTTACACTACAGACACTGGTATATGACAAGAAGGGGTATTAGGTTATCAGTATCAGGGAAGGTATAAAAAGAATACACTGAAACAAGCTTCAGAGAGAAGCGGAACGCACAATCACTCGCGAACGGTTAGATCACATTCACCCACGCTGTGGTACAAAGCCATGTTCCGTGCCAGGCTCACAAACCCGAACGACGAAGTGATCTCGAGTCTTTTCAAAACAAGACGCAAAAAAATGCGGATGCCAATTATTGATTTGGAAACAAAACCGCGTCATCACCATCTTCGCCACCATTACCATCATTATCATCAACATCGACAACAACAATTATAATTTCGCCGCAGGAGCCTAGAAGGCTAATGAAGTTACCACACAAACCAGCTAGACAGGATTAAGCTCACTTCGTTTCCTGTGAAAGAAAGGTGCTATTTTTTAAACCCTGGGGGATGTAGGGTGGGTAATGAGTCCTGTTGTTGTTGTCTTTGAGCGTCAACATGTTTTCTGTGTAGCCTTGGCAAGAAAGGGTGGGTGTCAATGTCATGACATCAGTTCCGTAACCCGGTTAGTAGGCATTAGCAGGTAGGATTTATCAGGACGCAGATCTCTTTAGTTTTTTTAATTCCCTTTCCTTGAGTAAAGAGAAGCACATCGACTCAAGAATGGTCATTTAGTGCTGTGAAAAAGGAAGACGGACAGACAGAAACAACAGAGGAAAGTAGGACCTACTAGAGGCGCCCTCCAACCACCCGTCAGTTTAGTTAGCTTGCATGCACGTTCATTTTGGTACCGCTAAAAAACAAAACAAAATGTGAATGTCAAATTTAACTATTTCTTTTTGCCTTTTGGTTATTTTTGTTCAGAGTAATTTCTACATAACGTATGGTGCACTTTTTAAAACACATTATGGCATTTCAGAGGTGCAACTTTGGACACAATGGTTGAAACAGAACGACGAAGACCAATCGCCTTGCTGCAGATAGAAGACTCTATCTTGGCCCGACGTCCGTCGGTATCGACAGAAGGGAAAGGTAGAGGAAAAAAGTTTTACACTCCTTTTGAATATTATTTAGATCGTTTGAGAGGAGGGTTGCGTAGTACCCTGCCTGTCACGACCAACCAAAGCAGAATGAAATACAACATCCCAGCAGACAGATGGAGATACCGGATAATATTACAGTCACAGTAACATCTTTACTTGGGAATTGAACTCATGTCCTCTGTGTGCCACAGCGTTGAGCCTAACCATTACACCACTGACGCCTGTTCAAATAATAAAAAGTATTTCCGAAAGGCAAGAAAGAAAAATATGTCTTTTTCCTACTCGACGCCATCTGGGGATTCGAACCAGAATAATCTGTCCCACAACCCAGGGCGGTGGTATCTCGGCTAACTCCACTCCTCAGTGTCTGTCTGATAGAGTGGAGAAGAAGACTGAAAGATTAGAAATGGCTTACAAAAAGACCCGGGGGGGGGGGGGTAAGCCAAAACTTCGCTATTACGTCACTCCACTTTTAGGACGCACAGCGCACCCCGGGCAGAGCGACAGGTTTCTGGGGCGACACAGCAGGGGGGTCTACAGGCTCAGGAGAGTGCCACTGTCTCACTGACGTACGTGAGTGGCCCTCACGTCACGCAGGACGGCTGTCAGGTCAGAGGTCAGGAGGAAATAACGGAGTTTATTTTAGTTTTAGTACGAGTTTCACGCACTTGCAACACAATAAGGTCATATAAGTGCCGAAGAATAGATTATGTGTTACAAGTTACAAAAGAGTAACATACACAAAAAAAGAAGTAATGGAGGGAGATAAGGACAAGAGATGTTTGAAAGAAATGAAGAAGCAAACCACACCAGAGCACCCGCCAACCACCCACTAACGGAGTTTGAGTTCTAGTAAACAGAAGCACTTCGACACAATAACAGTCATATAGTTTGTTTGAGTAAAGAGAAGCACATTGACACAATAATGTCATAAAGTTTGTCTGTTTGTTTGTCTGAGTGAAGAGAAGCACATGACATGATAACAGTCGTTTGTTAGTTTGTTTGTTTGTTTTTTGTTTCTTTTTTTGTCGGTTTGTTTGTTTGAGTTTTAAAAAGAACATTGACACAATAATGGTCATTTAGTGTTGGAAAAAAGTAGATAGACAGACAGGGGAAGTAAAGAACTGAAACCTACATGTGGCGCCCTCCAACCACCCACGGGATCTCGATATAATATGTTAAGGCCTTTGCTTTTAATGGAAAAATGTCCAGTATACCACAAACGTGACGGCTAATGCAGTGGGTGTTACTAGACATCAGATAAAGCATCGTTCTACTTCAGCCTGCATTTAGAGTTCGTTGAATTTTCAGCATGTGTTTTACGGCACGTGTAACACAATAAGGTCACATAAGTACCGAAGATTAGATTTGTTACAAGAGAGTAACCAAGCCCAAAAAGATGGAGGGAAGATCAGTTAGTTTTAGTAGAGGTTTTACGGCGCTCGCAAGTGCATTAGGTCATATGAGCGTCAGAAGATTAGAGATATTACAAGAGAGTAACAAACATAAGAAAGAAGAAGAAAAGATAAGGACGATAGATGTTTGCTAGGAGAGAAGGAGCAAACCACACTAGAGCACCCGCCAATCACCCACTATTTAGACATCTAATGTTTGTTCAGAAAGTGTATTCAGCTTTAATCGAAAAGCTAGTACTTGTTTTTACTGAAATGCTTTTTACTTGACAACACTTTAACTGCATTCAATCAATATTTTCAACAGTAGGCAATTTTTTCCAATCAATATTTTATTATTTTAGATAGTTTTACAGCCATTTTCTTCTTTGGGGCGGGATGTGGCATCGGTCGAGTGCTGTGTAAGCGCTGTTTTCCAGAATGTCAAGCAGCGTGGCACACTGTTGGCTCTTGAATGATTGGCCATGTGGGCGAGAAATGTTTACAGAGCAATGGACCGCGGTTAATGGGGTACAGTGTGTGCTTCTGCTGTCATTCTTTCTTTATATTTACGTGTACATCCCCATAGACACAATTTAGAGCATCATTTTGGAAGCAAACCTCCGATTTTGCCTTCCAGGGACAACCCGGGCGGAGAAAGAAAACATCCAAACAGAAAGACCGAGAGACTCAATACATATTTCTCCCCTCTCAGGAATCACACACGGGTCGCCTGCGTGCGATAGCAAAGCGCCTAACCGCTACGCCACCGACACCTGTATGCTGTCACTCAGATTTAGTAAAGTTTTATGACATTTGCGAAACAAATAAGCCACACCCATAAGCCAAAGCATAGAGCAGAGGTGTACAAAGAAAGAAGGGGGAGAGTTAGAGACAAGAGATATTAATTATTTGATGAGGAAGAAGGAGCATAAAACACCAGAATATCCCCCAACACTTAGTTTTTATATAAAATAGATAGATCTACCATTATTTTACACCATACTTGAAGTTGATTTAGCATTGCACTTCTGGCGCAATAAATCGTTATATGTTACGTGAAATATAGATCTAAGCTGAGTATTTCGCATGTGAAACATCAAACTTTGCCTTAAATTACTCCGCACATTATATTTGCCTTTGAACCTTTTGTAAACAAAGTATAGACTTGAATCATAGTATTCCTAGACCGTGCTATGTTCTGGCACCTGCTCTTTCCCCCACTATTAGAACGTCGCTGCAAAGTGCGCTCACCATA